GACTAGGGGAAAAAAACCAAGGGTAGGTTGGTAGAGAAACTTTTTAGGAGTCAGGAATGATATCAGAAACTCAGTGTTTAATAGTGGGAAATACAAGTAATAAAAACAATGGCCTGGTGATTAAAGAACAAGCAGCTCTCTGTCCACACATCCCAGGCCCCGGGCCCAGAGTCCTGCCCCACCCCCAGCAAGATGTGTCTGGTGGTCTAGGCATGTGCAGTGACACAACTTGTGTTCCCCAGTTATGACCTTTGCTCCCCAGCCTCCAGGCATCTTGACCTGTACCTAAAGGGGCAGGATTTGCCACCCCTCCTCAAATGGCTTCAGCCTTTGTTCCATAAGAAAGAAGGGTTCAGAAGGAGCTCTGTACCTTGCCCACAGAGAGTGCTTCCGCAGGGACCCTACTCCTTTTCCACCCACTACTCCAGTGAACCCAGAAGTAGGTGGGGAAGAAACTTTTCAGCAGGTACAAATGCTCCTTAGGGTGAATATTCTCAGAGTCTTCTGTGCTCATACTAACCCACGTTCTGCCTTTGGCAATTTGTTTAAATTTTTAACTTATTTGTCTTTGCCAGTGTGCACAATGTTCAACAGCATCCACCCCAGATAAGCAGCAGTTTGCCTGGAACCTCTCATTGCAAGTCTTTACATTTTGAATTGGCTATTTGCTCTGCTAATGTTGCTCTCTGATAGAATCAAGAAAATCATCAATTTGCAGGTTAATGTTTTCCTTTTTGTTGTTGGTAGACAGGACTGTTGCTCCCTTTTGCTTCATACCTCCTAAGTAGAAGGCAGAAATCAGGAGATGTATTTATTAAACTCAGTTTCAGGGGCTGGATTTGTAAAGGACTTTAAAATCTGGATTTGAAAGGGACATTTTCAAATTATTGCTCACCTGGAGGATAACAATTTGGATTGGCCTACAAGGCCATGGTAAAGGATTTAGAAATATCTAAATTTAAGATGAAAAGTCTAAGGAGAGAACTCTTTTCAAATATGCTCAAGGCAACCATCTGGGAGGAAGATTAGACTTTGTTTGTAATGGGTAGAGATCACAGGGGAGGAGAATTCTGATCAAGATAGTGGGGATATTTCCTAGTAAGAAATATTAAAGCTGTGAGAGTGTTGTTTTGTTTTGTTCTGCTTTATTTGTGAGGTCACTATCTCCCTTGTGACCCTGGGTATGGTAGAGTTGGGCTCCTTTGAAAATTTCTCTGGATATTTTAAGGATCCTAATATCTTTTAGATTTTGGATGAGATGACCTCTGACATACTTTCAACTCATAATCACCAGAAATATCTTCTCTCTTTTTAGCCTCTCAGCTCTAGGGTACAGAACCCACAGACTTTCAATTTCATTTTATGTGTTTAAAGGAAGTGTGGCTTCTTAAGACAAAGAGTGTACAGTTATAGTTTGGGCACTTAACTATTAACACCTTTTTAAAATTTTTTTTTTATAATTGTTAGTGGTTTTTCTGCTTGGACTATCTACAATCTATGAAAATGGTCAAGTTAAACATTAAAGACAAAATAGTGATGAGTTACCCAAAGAAAAGAAACTGACATGAACAAGAACAATTTTAGTGATTTTAAGGGCCCAAATTGAGATCCCAGAGGGTCAAAGTCATCTGGTTTTGAGAAGAGGGAGGGGAAGGGAAGTAAGTACATGGCTTAGCTGGGGGCCACATGTGAATGCATACAAAGGGCTGGCACATGTATGTGTGAATGCCTACCCAAGGTGAACTGGAACACAGGTGAGACATATGGCAATTCAGAGCCCCAATAAATTGGTGGCTCCCCCATGGTTGATCAGAATCTAGAAACTCTATTTGGGGATGGCCATTTGGAGACAGGTCCCAAGGGAAGGAGCTCTGGGAGGTGGTAGAACGGGGTGAAAGCATGTTTTTGGCTTCCTCAGTGGCCATTCTTGTTTAACAACCCTAGATTCCCCTGCAAAACATGAAACTGATCTGCTGACATCTTTGGGTCTTCCATATGGAAACAACAGGGCCAGACATATAAATAACTTCCGTGATATCCCATCTAGTCTTCACCCTAGATATATTTTTTTTTTTTTTTTTTTGAGAGAGAGAGAGAGAGAGAGAGAGAGAGAGAGAGAGAGAGAGAGAGAGAGAGAGAGAGAGAGAGAGAGAGAGAGAGAGAGAGAGAGAGAAAATTTTAATATTTATTTTTTAGTTTTCAGCGGACATAACATCTTTGTTTGTATGTGGTGCCGAGGATTGAACCCCGGCCACACACATGCCAGGTGAGCATGCTACCACTTGAGCCACATCCCCAGCCCCCTAGATATATTCTATGTTGCAAGTTGAATATAATGAAATAGTCTTTCTTTTAAAATGTAATGAAGAGGACACTTTGAGCCAGTTCAATATAGATACAAAGGAGTTGGTGCCACTATTGTGAAGTTCACAAGGCTCACCTTCAGCCCCTGTCTCCTTTTCCATTTCTGCACCCTCTCTCTCCTCTTCACAGGGACTGCCCTTGCCATCTTCCACCACATCTCTCCTCTTCCTTGGAAAGAGTCTACTCTAATAAGTTCTAATGTGGTTTCTTTATGGTAAAACATGTTTGCCGTATTGGAATAAGTTTGACCTAACACACAAAGATCACTTTGGCAGATATGTTCGAGCTGAGAGTAGGATAGGTGACAGATCTTGTACTGAAATGGATCATGCCTCTTCTCAGCACAGATTGATTCTGAATAAAACCAGGCACTTGAAAATCTCTTGTGTTCCATTTTTTTCAAGGCATGACAATCAGTACACGATTGGCAGAGGTGTGCACCATCCGTGTTCCTTGCTTCTTCTTCTGTTATTCTTGTTTTCTGCAGTTTGAGGGTTACTTTTCTCCACATTTTCCCCTGGAAGAATCCCCAGAAAACAAAATTGGGGAAATAAAAGGCAAATTTTCCTACTTTGTTTTTAATTTTAGTTTCTCTGCTTAATGATTTTGATAGGGAAAGAATTTGAAACAAACAACCAAAACTCAGGTAGTACAGTATAAGTAATTTATCAGTAGATTGTTTTTCATTTCCACAACTTTCTTAAAAATCAGAGTTGATTCTGATGCTTACAATTTTAAGAAAGAACAATAGTGTAAAATTATTTTAACTCAATCTAGTATCAAACTAGTATTTTGATTTCTCATTCATTCATTTAACAAATATTTGTTGATTATGTACTATATGCCAAGGACTGTATTAGCTTATGGGATTCACAGACCAAGAGTAAAGCTCCATCTGTGTTCTTACTTTGGATTCATTATTCTAAGCACTATGGAGGAACAGAAATGGCTTTAGATATGGTTCCTGCATTCAAGAGGATGTATTGACTAGGAGAACAAAGATATTCACAAGGAAATTAAAGGAAGCACTGGTCAAGTCCTGCCAATTATGTAGCATTGCAGAAGTACAAGGGATTAAGAAGGAAACTGTGTTAAGTTGTTTAAATTGGAAAAATGTAGATAGAAGAAAAGCATGGGAAGTGAAAGTAATTCTAATTCAGTAGATGGGACAGTAGATGGGACAGTGGATGTGACAGCATATTTCTATTAGATGTGAACATACACTAATGGAGGAAACTAAATTAGTATTGAGAGCCTTTTATGTGATCAGTATGAATTCAGAAGATATAGGGCACTCAAGAGTGCTATAAAGTATTGTCATTTTAATCAAGGGATTATAACTTCATTGAAGTCCCAAGAATAATGCACATGAAGCAGTTGTTAAGTAATTACATAATAGCAAGTGATTAGCTTCTAGGTAGTATGATTATTTCTTGTGTTATATGAATTACCGAAAGAAGGAGGCCCAAAAGTCTGGAGAAATTATGAGTGCCTTCACAGAGAAGGTGAGACCTGAAGAGGTGGAGAAGATCTGGAGAAGGCATACACTGTTGGTGGGACTGTAAATTGTTGCAACCACTATGGAAAGCATTATGGAGATTCTTTAAAAACTTGGAATGGAACCACCATTTGACCCAGTTATCCCACATCTCAGTCTATACTCAAAGGACTTAAAAACAGCATTCTACAGTGATGCAGATACCTCAATGTTTATAGCAGCAAAACTCACAATGGCCAAGCTACAGAAACAATGTAGGTGTCCTTCAATGGATGAATGAATAAAGAAAATGTGGATTATACACACTGGAATATTACACTTAGCCATAGAGAAGAATAAAATTATGGCATTTGCTGGTAAATGGATGGAACTGAAAAATATCATGCTAAGAGAAATAAGCCAATCCCCCAAAACCAAGGACCAAATGTTCTCTCTGGTTTGTGGATGCTAACCCAAAACAAGGGAGGTTGGGGAGGGGAATAATAGGCATCCATGGGATTAGACAAAAGGAAACATAGGGAAGGAAGCAGGGTGGGGAATAGGAAAGACAGTAGAATTAATCAGTCATAACTTTCCTAGCCTTGTATTTGAATATACTACCAGGGTAACTTAACATCAGGTACAACCACAGAATGGGATACTAAATAGAATAAGTTATACTCTATGTATGTATAATCTGCCAAAATACATTTGTTATGTGTAACTAAAAAGAAAAAAAAATGAATTTTAAAAAGGATCTGGAGAAGGCCTGGAGGAAGAGTATTTTTATGAATTCAAGAGTATCAGGATTCATTGATGAAGACCTCTGTAAAATGATGCCAGGTCATTGGCCTGGAAGCTGACTATGAATGGCTTTGTATGCCAGAAAGAAATCTAATAATATTGGAGGGAGAGAACCTTTGAGAAACATATGTGGCTGTGATTAATAGAATAGAAAGAAAATGTTTAAATACTTCCTTCCTCTAACCAGGATCACTGGAGAGCCCGACAGAATTATGGGAGACCCCTGATTAACAGGAATGCAAGGGTAGAATGATAGGCAGAAGAGAAGTAGTTGTGGCCCAGAGGAGAGCACTGTAAATTCTGTGGTGTCACAATCATCATCTTGGCCCTTTCTGTCACTAACCATGGGAAGTAGCCATTGGCTGATTGTGCTAAAATCAATGCTCCTCACCTCCTCCTTTTGTAAAGTCCATTTAACAAACTCCCTTGCTGACACAGAGAACTGACCATAGGGAAAGGGAAAAGGATGAAATCTGGCTGCGTTTCCTCAGGTATGCTTTGTAGGAAAGGGACTGGCTTTTCTACTAGCAGAATGGTCTCCTTGCTTCTCCAGCCCTTGTGGGAAAGAACCCTGTACTGTTACATCACGCCATGGAGCTCTGAATTCTGGGTTCCAGAAACGCCAGTTTCTCCCAGCGTCCCTCCAGCCCTTTGGATGATGGAAACCCCTTGTGGTTAATCCCAGAAGTGATTATTCATCTCCTGTTTGGTTTGTTAGCTTTTTTTTTTTTTTTTTTTTAAATCACCAGCATCATCATGTCCATATATGATATTCCTATTGTTTAAAATACACAGAAATGTTCCTATTTTTCTGTCTGGTGACCCATATACTACATAATCACAGGTAAAACATTCAAACATTTAAAAATCTCCCTGGTGCTGTTTTTTTAATATTTAATATACAGAACAAATTGATTCTAGTTGATTTCTATATGAACTAGTTGATTTTGCTTTTCTTTCAAAGAGAACATGTAAACTTAGAAGATTAGGTATGTAAAATACTATAGGAGTGTATCAATTTGTGATCCATCTATCCACTTAAAACCTTCCCATATGATATGTGGCACACTTTTGAATATTTGCAGAGTTCAAATTTTAAAAGAATTATCCAATGTTTGTAGAACTTAAATGGTAGGAATTGATCCAACATAATTCAGCCTTTCTAAGGATCAAGACTTATAATCTGCTTGGAGATTCACAGAGAGTAGAGGAAAAGATAAAAGAAAGATTTCTCATGAAAAAAAATAAATAAAAATGCCAAGAAATGGAAGTGTATTTAGCCCCAGAGACTAAGCATTTGGAGCAAAAAAGGTCAACAAATATAGGAAAAGAGAAGTGTCCTTCTTCCTAGCATTTGCAAACACCCACCTATAGTGTCACATCCTTCATCTGAATTTCCATCTCTTTAGTGACTAGGACAGCCTTATTACCTTGTAAGAATCTACTTCATTCACATCACAGGCAATTTAGAATTTTTATAATTATCTAAGGATTACCAGTAGAGTAGGCCTTATTAATTCTCAATCGAATGCTCAATTTTAGGCCATAATTGGAAAGATTTCCCCTAATTTGCGGTAGTTATATTTACTAAGAGGAATGGAGGTGATCTTTGTTACTTTAGTTCTTTGTCAGGTCATTAGAGCCCACATTTGGCAGGGGCTTGAGATAATCTATGGCAGTATGCATCTTAGATGAGAGTTTTTGTTGAGACTCTACTACAGAGGCGGTTGAAAGGACCTTCTTTTGTTAATTATTTATCCTGCCCAGGAATTATCAGTATTCATAATAGCATGGAACCATTTTTTTTTTGTCAATGATGAATTAGTGGAAGTTAGTGTTGCCTCAAATTAACCAGTTTATATTTTTAGGTGTATGATGAATTACTAAATAGTTGATGATTGAATAAACACTGAGTCACCAAAAGTGATGTTTTAAATCATTGATGATGCCAAATACTATGGTATGTTTGGTACAGATACATGAAATGTCACAGCTTTGCTTTTCTTGGTTAAGAACTAGACTCTTTGTGAGATACAAGGGGGAAATGATGGCACATTTCTCCTACTTTTTGCAGATAAATTGTAGATAGAATACCAAATATGAATTTTTGAGTTTTATAACAGTTTTAGAAATTAACCATTGACTTTTAAATAGAATTAAAAAACAAGGATATCATCTATCGATTTCCTGTAGTACACTGGCTTTGTAAGTGAATGACACTAGAATCAGGAGACCTAAATTTCATCTCTGATATTGTGTGATGATACTAACCTCCAATTTGGGTATCTATGAAATGTAGGCATTATATTTGGGTGGTAAATCTCCCAGCATATCATGATGCTAATATCCTTCAGAATTGTGTTGCTAGATTTTGATCAGTATGTGCATTTTATTTTAATACCAAAGATGGAAATTTGGGCTGAATAGGAAATATGACATAGCACAAAGTGGTACATAATTTACTGTGAGTCAATGATATGTTTCAATATAAATCCGTGGCCCAAGATAGAATTTGTGTTTGCTGGAATATGTGATTGGTTTATCTCTTCAGTAATTCAAATTGCATGCTTGGTGTAGTAAACAGCTTGATATAAGTAGCTAACCAATGACAAAGAATGCTTAATTAGTTGTATAATATCTGTCAAAGATTTATTTTATTTCATTACTTTTTTCCAAACTTGAATTTTAAAATTTCTACAGACATCCTATTCTTTGCAAGCATTTTTTCAAAAGCCAAAGAACTCCACCAGCATAAAATGTTTGAAAATCACTGTCCTAGAGAATTTTTAAGATCTCTTTCAGTTTTTATGTTTGATGATACTATCTGTACCAAATACAGATAAGAAAAATTCCACTTCTGTTCAGGATTTAAAAAAGCACAAGAAAATATTGTTCCCATTCCTAACAATCATAAAAAAAAAGGCTGGGTAAATCTACAAACTCATAGCTTTTCTTAAACCATCAGATTGCTGTGTTTCCAAGGTATATATTTGAAAGAAGAGAGTCTTACATAAAGAGAGAATGGGATAAAATAGCTGTTTTGCTTTTGGCAGAGCAAGATAAATGACTGTTTCTATGCACATATTTAAGAAGAAATTACCTGAAATTTCTTAGACCTTAAGTGATGAGTGTAGTGTATAAGTATTGAATAACTCTGGGTCCAAAACAGAAGAGATAATTTTGCTTATTTGAAAGCTCTTATCCAGGGCCTCCATCAAATGCTAATGAGACATATTTGGAGCTAAGAAGGTGACTAGAGACAAGACCAGTCTATGGCAAAGGTGTGCAGTTGATTGATTGCACCTGGGGGAAATAGACACAAAACACACCTCTTCCATTCATACATCTTCTGTTAGAAACATAGCTCTTCACCAATGGGAGAGGGATATCAGAACTTCCAGCTCTGAACTCAACCAAAGATACTCTTTCTGGGTAAAGAGTAGAGGAAAAATCTTCTGCCTCTGGGAGAAGAACAGGAAATCTTGTGAGCCATGTTTCTTCTCTTTTACACAATAGAGGCATTTACACAAGGAGAGGGCTAGGAAACACTCTCTGGCCAAGAAACCAGGCAGAGCTCTGGTGGCCCTGGAAAGTTTCCACTCCCAGAGACCTTGCCTAAAGCTCATACTTGACCATGGGAACTCCCCCCACCCCAAATAAACCTAGTCTGGGTTATCAAGAAAAGTATAAAACTGAGGAAAGGGCAAGAATATGGAGAGAGACCCTCTTTAGAGGCACATTCTCCGGGACTGGTAAAAGCAGAGGGTGGGGTGGGGACCCTTGGCTAAAACATTCTGGTACCCAAGGCCTCCCATAGATGCAAGTCCATTGTTGGAGCAACTTGAAAACTATGGTGAACTGAGGGTAAGAAGAGTAGCTACAAAACCAAAATTTAACCAGCTACTGATTTGTTTGACTCAACCTCCCAGACTATGGCTAGATAGAAAATGAGGTATGTTCATTTTCAGGAAAAATAATATTTAACTCAATCTTCTTCCTTTTTAAATACAGCATTCAATCAAAATTATGAGATATGAGGTAATAAATAGGCTAGACTTAGAGATGACTCAAATGTTAGAACTATCAGAGAGACCTTGAAATTACTATTAGTAATATGTGAAGGGATCTAGTAGGAGAACAGAATGACATACATGCATAAATGAGGAATATCAGAAAAGAAATAGAAACTACAAGACAGTAAAATGGAGTGCAAGAATAAAATACTCAATATTGGCAGAAGGAATTCTTTTCACAGGTTTATCATCAGACTAAAAAGAGCATCAACAATCATAGAACTTGAATATCATACAAAACATATTATCCAAAATTTACAAAAAGAGAAAAAAATAAACAAAGAACAAAGCACCTGAGAGCTGGGGGACAATATCAAATAATCTAACTTGCATATATTTTGTGTCTGAGAAGCATAAGAGAGTTTTAAAGGAGGATAATGGTTTTTTCCTAATAAAAGGCAAACTACCATTTCAAGAAACTTAGAGGAAACACAGGTGATATAAACACACACACACACACACACACACACACACACACACAACCAAAAAACAGTTTTAAAAATATGATATTAAAACCAGTGCAAACCAACCTATAAAGAAATATTGAAGATAACCATAGAAAAGAAGATATCAAAAATCAAAAGGAACAAATCAAATATAGAATGACAGAGAACAAAACAGTGGTTACCAGGGGAGGTTGGAGAGGGAGATGTAGGTAAGACGTGCAACTTAGTATATATGTAGGATAAACAAAATTTAGGGGTTTATTATAGCACATGAGTGATATTGTACTATATTTGGAATTCATGCTGAATGAGTAGAATTTAGATCTTCTTGCCAATAAAACAAACAAAACAGATAACTAGGTGAGATGATGATGTTAATTTGTTTTGCTATAGTAACCTTTTTACTAATTATATTTATACTATGACATCATGTTATATACTTTGTATATACACAATAAATTTATTTTAAAATGAGTAAACAAAAAGAATGTAAGAATTACAGCAAATCATTTCATTGGAAACTATACTACTTGAAAGTCAGTGGAACAAAATTCTAAAGTGCTGAAAGGAAAAACAAATCCTGTCAATCCACAATTCTACAACTACTGAAAATATCCTTCAACCATGCAGGAAAAAAATAAAAATAAAAAATAAAGATGTTCTCAAACAAAATCTAAGAGTTTTATTGCTAGTGTAGATGTACTAAATGTGTTAATAAGGAAAGTTCTTCAGAGTAAAAATACAAGGTACCAGATAGAAATCTGAATCTATACAAAGAAATAAGGGGCACTGAAAATGGTAGAAATGAGAATAAATATCTATTTTTACTTTTAGTCTTTGTAAAAGTTGACTAAAGTAGAAAAAACAACAACATACTTGCTTTATAATATGTCCAAGTAAAATGCAAAGTTTAATAGCAAGATGTATAAAAATACACTGTTAAAATATTTTAATATATTGAGGTGGCATACTATTAACTGGTGGTAAATTGTGATAAGTTAAATATTTGTATTGTGAGGCCTGGAACAAGATCAAATATTATGATTTCAATAGTGGTAATCATAGAATCAATTAAACCCAAAGAGGACAGGAAAAGAGGAGAAGAGAGGCATATACGGCCAAGGGAGAAAAAGAAACAATTGGCAAAATCAAAGATTTAGATCAAAATATATCAACAGTTATATGAACTGTAAATAGTCAAAATTCCACATAAAATGGAGAGATTGTCATATTAGATGTTGTGTATTATTGATCAAAAAATCCACTTGGTGAATACTCATATATTGGTTTATTGTTCAGCAAAAAATGTTGATATCTTCAATATTGTGGATGATTCCCAAAAATAGTATGCTAAGTAAAAGAAGCTTGAAACAGAGATGTCATACTGTAGAATTTCATTTACATGATAGCCTTAAAAAGACAAATATTTAGGGAGAGAGCAATGGTTGCCAAGGTTTGGGAATGGAGTAAAAGAAGACTGTTTACAAAGGAGCATGTAAGAAATTTTGGGGTGATGAAACATTCTACATTTTATTTTTGCAGAGGTTTCAACAAGGTAGTCATTTGTGAAAACTCACTGTATAATATGTAAACTATCCCTTAATAAATTTGACTTTAAAGATCTATGATATGGATAATTATTACAAAAATAGTCATCAAAGCTAAAATATTGTTTGAATGGAAGCTTATATAATTCATTTTCTATTTAGTCTGAGTAAGATTTAATGAATATCTATTGAATTTGATTTGTAAACTTGGGAGGAAAAAGAAATAGTTTATTGGATACTATACCCAAGTACACTGTCAATGATGAAGATAGCCTTGGTAATTTATCTTTTAGAAAATTATTTATGTAATTAATTGGGATTGAAATTGAATGATTAAAAGGTGAAAAGTTTGTTCTGACAGCTTCTGATTATGGCAGTCAAGTGGGCTTTTGTGCTTTCCTTTTCTCCCTCTCAATACTCTACTGATACGAATGTTGGGTGGATTTTGATATATATATATATATATATATATATATATATATATATATATTCCTTTTTTATTCACTTATTAAAAAAATTAAATGGGAAAATCTCACCAAGACCAAAAAAAAAGTTTTAGTAAACAATAACAACAAGGGGGAACATAGATGACAAATCATAACAGAGAAGAAGAGATACAGGGAGAAAACCTGAGTAAATGGTAAATGGTGACGAAACCCTAGGAGATGGATCCAGAAAGGCTTAGGTAGCACAGGTACCTCTAAGAGTGGTATGGAGATAGAAATAAAACCAGAATAATTGGTGGAATGTTTTGTATAAAAAGTAATTTTGTTGTGGGATTCTTGCAGAGAGACAGTACACGAAGGTTTTCAGCCAAGAAGCAGCATTTATTACGGCTGGCACTGGACCAGCAGATTTGCATCCAAAGGCCGAGCCTGGAGCCCAGTGGGCCATTGCCTTGCATATCCTCTTTTGGTTTCCCCTTTAGCCCTTTGTCTGCTCTATGTGGTATCATTGATTCTGAGTGGATATTCCATACTAGAGAGTTGCAAAAGAGTTGCACATGCCCACATAGGTACTGAGCGTGCCAGATTGCCTTCCCTTTGTTCTGGGAGGGTCTTACCACAGCTTCAGCTGTCAAATCCCCTTTCTGATCCCTCCGAGATAGGCAAATCATTTCCTACAACATAGCAGTAGATGGGACATTTGCTCTGTAGATAGAGTGCACCAGGGAACTGCTAAGCACTAGAAAGGAATAAAATACTAAAAATAGGGCATGCACACTGAGCCCCAGAATGTGAAGCTGCCATTTAGCTATGCTCACTTTGCTCAAGAGCACCAGTGGTTTGGGGATTGGATGGACACTCATAAGGGGTAACTGTCAAAACAGCTTTTTCTGTGCACAGAAAAAGGCATAATGGTATCAGCCTAGCGGGTGGCCTCATGACTCTTAGGCAGGGTTACAAAATTTCCTAGCCACACAGACTTGGGAAACAGATAATTACAAAAAGACAAAATTGGGGAAAATCAGGCAATCTCAACTGAGAAGAGCCATTGGTTCTTAGCTCTTTGGACTACTGGCTCTTCTTCAGTGGTGGTTCCTCCAGAACAAGATGAATAGGGCTTCGTCTTTGGTTCAGCTGCATCATTCATTACCAGGTACTCATCACAATCCCAACAATGAGGGCTTAGCTTAATGCATAATTTCCATAGCTGAATTCTCACCTATCTTGAACATAGAGTATTGATAAATCCCTTGAGTTAGTGTTTCAAAGGGCATTCAATCCTTGGTCAAACACTCAGGCATCCTGAGGTTAGAAAAAAGCCAGGAACCAATACTGTGAAATATTTCTAGGGTCTTGTCAGCAGATAAATTGACTGCCCTTTGGTCCCGATTATAGTTTCAAGGATAATTAGTAGACAGCCTTTGAAAATAGAAATAGTCCCCCCCCTGTTAAGCAAGGGCAGGCATTCTTATAATCCTATATAACGAAGATAACATCTGTCCCCAGAGCAGAAGTCAGGCATTCTTAAAATTATAAGAGTCTGGATTACCCAGCCTCAGGATTCCTCTTGTGTAATTCCACGCATGGTGTGTGGGTATTCATCTGATAGGACCTCAGTAAGCCTCACTCTGTTTAGTCCTGGAACTGCAAAAACCATGTACTGTTATATCTTTGTCATTATCTGCTGGTGATAGTGCAAGATTACTAACCCAGTTTTTCATTCTGCTACGATTTCATATTATTTATTTTGCTACTTTTTTCCAACCGATTTTTCATGCCACTCCTGGTATCATTCTTTGAGCTTCCAAGGATCCACATTTAATTTTGAAAGGATTCTTTTACTGTCTTCAAGATCCTTATTTTAGCAAATATGGCTCTTTTTTCCTTGTTTAATTTGCAAAGGTGACTCTTCTCACATCCCATATATCTTGATATTTGGGAATGGTCTTAAAATTTTTTAGCTATACTTCCAAACAATGATTTTTCTATAGCCCACCAATAACACTTCTTCCTCTATAATGCAAGTCATACCTATATCATTGTATCTCTGGTGTGCCTCTGGTCATTTGAAAGCACTCCCAGGGTAAATCACTGAGAAATCTGGTTTGCATCTCTTTTCCTCCCCTGCTAGTATCTATGGCAATCTTCATATTTATATCATTCATGTAAACCTGTCTGATACTCTGACCTTATCCATTTTTTCTCTGAGTTACTGGTCACTTCTCTGACCCATCTTGGACATTACTACAATGAAAAAAATGCTTCATACTTGGAAACATCTAAAAATGTTACATATTGATGTCTGATGACAAAATTTTCTAGAATTTTCCCTTTTATTTTGAGTCTACCTATTCATAGACTATGCTAAGAACTCCCCTCCTATCCAGTTTTCTTCAAGTTTTATTACTCTCTCAGGATTTGACATTTTTTCTTCTTCCATTTTAGTATCACAGGCCATCACACCATTCTTTGGATAGTCTCTTCAGTGTCCTCTCAGCTACCAATCTTCCCTCCTTTAGCCTAATGACATGGTGCTAGTACAGAACAATTTAATGGCCTCATCCATGGAAATGTGAGCAACAAAAGTCTTAGACTTTTGTCCAATTGATGTAAGCACCTAAAACAGTTTAGGCTCCAAATTCACTACTCAAGGAATCCTTAGAAATTACTCAAAGATACAGATTAAAGAATGAAAGACCTCATTTCATCCCAACAATTATTAGCCTGCAGGCTGAGGTCCAGGAAGAGGTCAGTATGACTCAAAGATCTTTTCTTTCAGGAAGTGAGTGATCCTCAGAGAGACTTATAAAGAAAAAGTGATCCACTCTGGATTCAATATATCAATCACAGGTTTGTGATTGAGTCTCCTTGGCTTGCTCCTTGAGAAAATTGAAGCAGTTAATTGAAGGTAAGTGACATGATAAATTCCACCAGCTACAGAGTACAGATTAGAAACCTCAGTCTAGTTGAAAATTTATTGCCTAGAGCCTTAGCCATACCTCTAAACCCGAAAATGTATTTTCTTCCCAACACCATCATATTCCTAACTTGGAAAAAGTAAACTAAGTAACCAAAGCAGTGTTTTTCAAATAGGATGTAAATCCTTGAATATTTGATCCCCAAAATGTATTTTTTTAACCAGAAAGCCAAGGTTAGTGAAATGAGAGATTTCAAAGTAAAGATTCATTTCTTTCACTTTTAAATATGATTCTTTGGACAAGTCTTTACTTTTTGTAATCATGGGGCACAATTTTAATATGGATTCTAAAGATCAAAAGATAGCAGAAAAAGAGAGATTTGTAAACTAAAAATGAGTTATAGAAATGCAGACTCCTTTTGTGCATTTAGCATACAGTTAGCATTTCACAAGGGGAAAAATAATGTATCATTGGAACATACTTGAATTATTTTGACATTACAGGAGTCTAAGAAACAGTGATCGCCACTGTCACAAATGTTCTATGTGTATACAGGTATGATAAGTTATATGTAGATTCTGAAAGATATGTTCAAGGAAATAGAGGTTTGTTTTTTTTTCCCTGAGATTTGTAAATTTTTTTTCTATTTCATGTACTTCAAAATTTACTTTTCTTTTTCTAGTTATTTTCTTTTTTGTTTTTGTTCCAATTCATGTCTTATTATTTGGGAAAATATAAACATTGTGACAAAAGTACAAATATAATGTTCACAGTTCCTTCTTCCTTTTCCCTATATGTACTACACTAAAATTTTAAAAAGTTAAGGAAGATTAAATATTTTTCAGTCTATAGTTGATGAGATATGATTGATTTTAAATATAATATTCAAGGAAGAACTTACAATTTGAGGATGAAGTGGTCAGGAGGTAATGGGGACAGTACCATGGAGTCATTCTAGATCTAGATAGAGGATCAGGAGCTGTCATGTTGGTGGGGATTAATAAAATGAGGTCTCATGTCTTGTGAAAGTAGGGCCATGGGATTGCTCTGATTGTCTCCAACTTTAAAAAAGTTCTATGAATATAGTATCTGGGAGAAAAGAAAGAAAGGGGATATTCCTGTGAGTGAAACACTAAAAGAAAATTTCAAAGATGTAGAGATGACATTATACTTTTCACAGTGAGGCAGATGAGTAAGTTAAGGCATTCCTTGAAGGCACTGTGTATGTTTTACATAAGAAGGTGATTGACTATCCAATGTCCACTTTCTTCTTTTTTTTTAATAATAGAATTTTTGCTTTGCTCAGTGTGTCCATGTGCCCAGTTAAAATACCTTCATCTCAGATTGTTGAAGCCAGAGGTGGCCCTTTGTCCTGGCGTGGCTAAGAATGAGTGGTAGTTGCCAGGATAAGCTTCCCAGGAAACCTTTTAAAGAGAGTGACTCCGAAGTCCTGTGCCCCCATTGTTTCTCGTGGTGATGTTCTGCTTTTCCTCTTTGTTGATAGGAACAATGAGTTGGTGCTTGAGGTGAGATGACCAGCTTGGCAACACAAGGACAGATACTAACAACAAAGATGGTAGTGTAAAGCCGAGAAGGAACTTGAGTCAGAGGTAGCATAATTAACTCTCTTACCAGCCTGCACTTCCTATCTCCACATGAGACCAAAAATTAAAAACAAATTTTTTTATGTTCAAAGTCACTATAGTGGGGTTTTCTGTGGTTGCAGCTAACCCTAATGCTTATTGGAACATGTAGTTCATATTTGTTATGGTTTGGATATGAGGTGTCCCCCACATGCTCATGTGTGAGACAATGCAAGAACATTTAGAGGAGAAATGGTTGGGTTATGAGAACATGAACCCAATCAGGGAATGAATCCCCTGATGGGATTAACTGAGTGGTAGATTGTAGCTGGAAGAAGTGGATCATTGGGGTTGTGCCTTTGGGGTGTATATTTGGTATCTGGCAAGTGGAGTCTTTTACTCTACTTCCAGGTCATCACGTGAGCCACTTCCTTCCACAAAACTCTTCTGCCATGAAGTTCTCCCTCACATTGAGCCTTGAGGCATGGAAACCAGCCATCTATAGACTGAGACTTCTGAAAACTGAGCTCTCAAATAAATTTTCCTCCTCTACAATTGTTCTGGTTGGGTCTTTTAGTCACCATAGTGAAAAAGCTGACTAAAACAGTATTATTGATTGTTAGTTAAATGTATGACGAAAAGAGATGTTGAGTAGCTCAAATTGAAATTCAATGATGTTAAATCTGTATAGTGCTTTTGGAAGTATGGTCATTTTGATAATATTAATTCTGCCTATCCAAGAGCAAGGTAGATCTTTCTATCTTCTAAGATCTTCTTTGATTTCTTTATTTAGGGTTCTATAATTTTCATCATATAGATCTTTCACTTCTTTCATTGATTTCCAAGTATTTTATTTTATTTTTTTTTAATTTTTGAGGCTATTGAAAGTGGGATAGTTTTCCTCATTTCCCTTTTGGAGGTTTTGTCATTGATATACAGTAATGCCTTTGATTTATGGGTGTTGATTTTATATCTTGCTACTTTGTTGAATTCATTTATTAGTTCTAGAAGTTTTCTGGTGGAACTTTTAGGGGCTTCCAAGCACAGAATCATATTATCAGCAAATAGTGAAAATTTGAGTTCTTCTTTTCCTACGTATATCCTTTTAATTTCTTTAGTCTGTCTAATTGCTCTGCCAGTGTTTCAAGAACTATGTTAAATAGAAGTGGTTAAAGAGGGCATCCCTATCTTGTTTTAGTTTTTATTGGGAATGCCTTCAATTTTACAATTGTTGGATGCTATTTGAGAACATCCTTGTGATCTCTAAAACATACCTTCATGTGTATCCAAGAATTCAGGGACCTGAATGAACAAAGACTTTGGTGAACTGTCAATTATCAGTCAGTTGAACTCTTGGGATAGGATCCAAAGATTTCTAAAATCAAGGTTCCTTGTCACTGCTTTTGGTTGTCACTCAAATTTTAAAATTTAATGAGAACTGAAGGCTACCATAGGGAACAAACAAGGAAGTACTAACATTTGCATATATCTGGATAATATTTTTGATCTACAAGCCCCAATATTTATTCTTCCTTTTCTTTTATTCAAGCAAGAATTATTGATGTAGGGTAGGGATTTGGCAGAAAGGTTAGCAGGGAGACTTTTTGATTTTACTTTGAAAGCCTTAGTCACTAAGGGTGTTTAATGTTTATGAATGTGGACAAGATATCTTCTTGGGAAACATGGAGAAAATAGGGACACTCTTCTCAGCTATGATGAGTGTGGATCGATGGGAAACAGGTCCATGGGTCACACAGAACAATAGAGATAGGATTGAAAGATTTCTAAAATCAACACATCCTGATTTCTGAGCAGAGAAGGAATCTTGAATTTCTGCATGATTCATTCATTTAGAGGAGCCTGGAAAAAGGTCCCAGGAAAAAGCTGCTGAATCAGGAAAACTTATCCAACTGGAATGCTATGATGAAGAACCTGACATGTTTCGCTGTTCTTTAAGGAACATTTGAAATGTATAGTTTCCAAAGACACAGCAAAACATGGGAAGGGAGGAGACCTCTACAAAAGACAGGGATTTCTTCCAACTATCTTGATAGGATAGAAGTTCAAATTAGAAAACTTATGTTGACTTGGAGAAAAATAGAATAATTAAAGAACTTGAGATGTGGACCCTGTTTATACATTTCTGTGGTTTGAAACTTCTTACATAATTCTGAGATAAGTTTTAAATAAAAAATTAATTATATTATTATTATGTAAGGATATATGTACAAGGCATTGATCACACCACTATTTATAAAGTTGAACACTGAAAGTAACCCAGATGTACATTTATAGGTGACTGCTTGAATCAACTAGAGTATATTCACTCAGTGAAATACTCTACATGTGTAAAAAAAAAAAAATCACATACCATCATGAATTGATCTGCAGATCAATGGAAAAGTTAAGGGGAAGCAAAATGTAGTATTTTGCCACTTTTCCAAAATAATATACACACACACAAACACACAGGACCCTAAATACTTATATTTGCTTATATTCTAAATATTTTACATAATTTAGAAGTACAATTCACTTTTTAAAGAATATATTTAAACTTATAAAAGTTAGAAAAAGAAACAGAGCTATATGCACCTATTTACGTATTCACATGGTAGCAAACCATGCAGAGAGAAACCAATTTAGGAATTTGAAAACACAGTAATTTGATTGTGTATTCCTAGTAGGATATTCCATAAGAACACATGAAAGCTGGAAAAAAAATACTTTTCGGTAATCCTAGTGTTGGTGATAGTGATAGTTGTTAGTATTGTTATTTAAGACTGGAGCCTAAGTATTCTGGATCAAAACAAATGTCTATTTATGCTGATATGTTGGGTTCCAGGATTTATATATATCAGCAACGTCTTCAAGTACATTGTGCCCATTCAGTATGATAAAGAACCAATTCATTTTCTTTAAAACTCATAAACGGGGGAAAAAACTAGCATTTATGTTACCTTATTTACAAACTGGACATCAGAGTAACCTATCACTGATGAGCATTCAAATTTTTTTTTTTTTTTTTTTAATTTTTTATTGGTTGTTCACAACATTACAAAGCTCTTGACATATC